GGGTTGGATGGGTGGGACCGTGGGGGGCGACTACCGCGAGGCTTCGATTTCCCTAATTTTTAATTGGCTGCTACCAGCCGTGTCAGCACGGTCTGGGATTAGTGACAGCCGATCGTTGCCTCGTGCAAGACTTGGGAAGCTTATCATGAATTTTCAACCAATCAGGGTACGTGGGGCAGGGGTTAATCCCTGCGACAATGGGTGCGGGACTATTCCCCATTGGTTTCGTGCCAAGGCAAGGAAGAAACCAGTCAGCGCTGCCAGAGGGTCCACGCCGCGTGATGTAATTTCTACCGTCATCTCTCCATATATAGAAATATAGAAATCATGAACTGCCAATTGAGGATCAGATATACAAGCAGGGCAATATGGTAAGGTACTGTCCTTAAGATAGATACTAGAAGAACTTAATATCATACCCCCTATCAGAACTACAAGTAAAAGAATGAAAGTATTTAACTATCTTCATCCTAGTCAGGCATTCATAAAATCAGATTTACTAAGAAGGTAACTCTATGTACCATGTAGGCAAAGAATTCCACTCCTCGCTCTCCTACTGCTTGTCTGATAATCGTGCTCGTTCTGGTACAGAGGCTTTCAGGGTTCAGTCTCTCGATTGACTACCTCCTGAGTTCTAACTGAAGCTGACCTTGAAACTCCAAAGGCCGTCATCATGCATTGTACATGTTCTAAAAATCGCTACCCTATGCACACAGTCAAGCCCAAAAAGACCAAAAAGTTCGTAGACAGCCATTGCAATCACAGACAGTGTCTAATGCTTTTTATTGCACCAAAACCCCATTAAAGCATCTTCTCCCAGTCAGGCGTGACAGTGAACTTGCCACTGAGCTGCCCCATAGCCCATACCCTGTTCTCTTCCTCTGGGATGCCCTCTTCCGGCGCCGAGACGATCAGGGCCTCCTGGAGGAAGTCGACCGATGTAGCCCGGTCGAGCTCGAAGCTGATACCGCCCCAGTCCATTGTGACTCGGCCCGACTTGTGAACGTTCAGCTTCCCGACCCGTCCGGCGCTCAGCTGCCAGTCCGCCGCGGTGAGGATCTTCGATGGCTCTTTGCTTGCGGTCCCGTCCGCTCCGTCCAGAATCTCCACTTCGCCGTTCTCCAGCTTGACGGCGGCTTCACCTGATCGTGTGCCACCAGGGATAGCATGCGTGTCTTCTGTAGCTGCATCCTCCGTGCTACCACGACCGGTGCCCGGGACTATGAGGTTGGGTGTCATGGGAGGGAACTGCATGAGGAACAGTTGGCCCGCCAGTTTATCTTTGACCTCGTCCTCTTCGGCATCCTCTGTTTTCTCTTCCTTCTCTTTGTCACTCACTGCCGTTTCGGGTGCTTCTGTTGAGCCCTCCGCCGCTTCAGCCGGGGGCTCCGATCGCTCTGGCCGGGACTCTTTGGGCTCGACGGAAAGGAGTTCCAGTATGGCCTCGAGGTCCTTGGCATGTCTCTCATATTCCTCAATGTCTTCCTTTGTACGCAGCAAGCTTCTAGGGTCTTTTGCCACGGCAGGTTTGGATGGAGGTACGGGTGCGCGTGCGGGTTCCGGCTCGGGCTCGGGCTCGGGAGTCTTGGGACTTAGTCGTCTGCGGACTTTGACCTTCTGCGCTGGAAGAAAGCCATCGTCATTCGTTGCGGCCTCATCGACATGGGGGACAGCATCAGTCATTGTCTGGTCTTCATCATCCACAGGTTCCTCTTTCACCCGAGGCTCAGTCTCATCGTCATCCCGCACGAAGAGTGAATCGTCTTCGGCAGGTTTGGGCCTTGTCACCTGCACCAGAACTTCCTCCTCCTCATCCTCATCCTGGGCTCCAGCTTCGGCCGGTTTACTCGTGCTGGACTCCATGTTGACACTGACCACACGTTCCTCGTGCTCATGGCGCTCAACACGAACAGGGCGAAGGCCCTTCTCCCGGTCCGCATACCGCAAGGGAACCTTTCCCTTCTTACTATCCGCAACATCATCCAAGTCCTCATCGCTATCGAGCTCGATCTGGTCAATGGGAAGTATAGTCTCCGTATCACTTTCATCCGAGGATACATGGCGACTAACCGCACCACTACCCATATCGATAACCGATCGACTCCGCGACATAGACGACGCTCGCGAATCCGGTTCGAACCGCCCACCACGGCCTCGTCGCCCACCTCCAAGCGGACCCCCAGGCCCCCCGCGTCCTCGCCCGGGATCTCCCCTGCCTCGCTGTGCATTTCGCCGCCCTCGTCGTATGGCCGCCACCTCAGCCAATCGCTCCCGATTCCGCTCCGCCTCGAGCTTCTCGATCGCGTCTCGCTCTTCTTTGCTGCGCCGCCCCACGGCGCGAGGCTTGTATTTCAGTGTTGGCTTGGCCGGCTCTCCATTTCCTGGCGCTGCCGCGGCGGGAGGTCTCGCGGCGGGTCCGATACTACCGGAGGGTGTGCGCTTCTTCAGCGACTGGAGGCGCTGCACGGGTGCTCGTGTGGAGGGTGCAGCAGCTGTGCCTGAGGCCGTGGACGGCTGGGGTGTGGATGAGGCGGATCCAGTAGGAGTGTTCGATGCGGCTTCGCCGGTGGTTTGTCGCGATGCGGCTCCTCCTGCCGCTGCTGCGCCTCGACGGACGGCTTTGGGAGGCATGATTTCTCGGGCAATGTGGCGCGCACAAGGTGTGTGCTTCAAGGGAGGGAGAGAACGGAGGAATCAGTACATTGACGAGGCAATCTGTAAAACTGAAACAAGGATCGAGGTGTTCTTTCTAGGCCTTCTTCGTGACAGAAAGGATATCGGCAAAGTAGAGAGGTTCAGTATTGAGCAAGCGAAAATGAGCGTCTTGATAAGCTCGTTCGTGACAGCAGTGGGCTTGGGAGTCTGGATAGATGAGCAAAATGATCCAAAGACTTGAGCGGAAAAAAAAAAAGGCGCGCGTCTAGCGCTTGAATGCGGAGTCGAAAACCACCACTAGTCCAAATATGGCAATATGGGAATCAGACGGGAGTATATACCTTAGCTTACGAGGACCAACACATAGCATGTAATAATCAAGCATACCTATAGTGCCAGGTCCCTTCATTGAATATTTCTGGCTGATTGGTTAAAACGAAAGCAAGAGGCATTGTTCCGGAAGCTACTTTTACGAATTAAAAATCTCTGAAATCAGGTCTAAAAGCAAACAATATATATTCCTTACTCAACGACACTAGACCTCACACTCAAACTGAAGTTCAAATCCGGCAAGGCAGGTAAAATAATAAAAAAAAAAACTGAAATCAAAACAGAGATAACTTGTCAGAACGCACTTCAGGGTAGATAAATGAGTGGTAACCTTTGAGACAAGGTGTCTGCAGTAGAACGAAGCACACCAACGCCAAAAGATAAAACAAAGCTAGATAATCAACCCGCTCAGTTCAATCGCTAGACTATCCATGATAAACAGCAGAGACTAGAAATGCAGATGGCAATAGGACACGGACTGCGAGATGGAGAGAACGTAAGGAGCGCTAGCGCTCGTAGTACGGATACGGCAAAAAACCGTTGTCGAGTCGACTGTCAAATACCAGTACTGAGTCCGCGTAGTGACTCAATTTTCGAGGTGTTGTTCTATATGACTTGGAACGTAGGTGTTCGTATCGTATTGGCGGTAAAGGACTGGAGGATTTCAAGCTATAAGGGAGCGGAAATGTGTTGGTGAATGAGAGATGGGATAGTTGGATCCTCTTGTTGAGGGTGATCATAGAAGATAGCACGTCGAAAGCAACATCATTTAAGCGCTTTGTTGCTGTCCTAAGACAGATGCAGATGGTCCGAAAAGAATGAGATGCCATAAATGAAGACGGGGATTGCAAGCAAGCACACATGCACTAGCGCTTGCGCTTTTTGTTCTTGTCTGCTATAGCGGATGAAGAAGGAATAGCTGTAGTGCCGATCAATTGGGGCTCGTTGTTTGCGGAGGTCGCGTCGAGGGCTTTCTTAACTGGTACGCCCATATGGCGACCATAACGACCTTTGCGACCGTTTCCCTCATCTTCACTAATACAACCTTCGAGACCAATACCGGCATCCTTGCACCGACCACAAGGACGCTGGCGATCACAGCCCTTCTTGCTCTTGCGGCACCGCTGACAGCGTGGCTTGGTTGAAAGGTCCTCTTCGTCCGCAGCAAGCTGATTTTGGACATTGACGGACGATGTAGAGGTCTTGCGGGCAGGGGTAGGGCTAACAATCTGCGACGGTGGTGCAGCCTTCTGACTCACCACAGTGGCCGTCGACTTGGCCTTACGAGCCACGGCGGTCGAAGCAGACTTGCCACTCTTGCCCTGGCGCGAGGGCGCTGTCTTGGTCACACGCGGTTTGGCAGAAGTCGTATTGGTTGGCCGAGTCTTAGCCTTCTTCGGCTTAGGTGTTGACTCTCTGTACAGCGAATCTTCATCGACCTCGCTCTTGACTAGACTGTCATTGAGCTCTTCATGTTGGTAGTCCTCATCCATACCGTCGTAGCTGCCGTCGGAGCTGTCGAAACTTGGCAGAATATCATCAAGGCGCTTGTGGGTGCGTTTAGTGGTACCGGGTGGGAGCATCGGGCTCGACTCGAGCTTCTGTCTAGACCGCGCCGGCAAATCATCGTCATCCTCACTGAAGTCTTCGCCATCGCTTGTGGCGCCGGTGGAGGAGGCAGCGTCAGCAGCACCGCTGAAGGCATCGTCCAATGTAGACGCCGATGTCCGACCATGAGAGAAATTCGAAGCGTCTCCCAGCCGAATCAGCTGCATTGCAACATCCTCATCAGAGATGCAGCTAGCAATGGTGGGATCAGGAGTTGGAAGGACACCAGGACCATTATACCGGCCGGCGGCGTTGCTGTACAGTCCAGACGACTGTGCGGTAGTGCGATCGCGCAGACGATGACCATGGTCAGGCACCGCCGGAGTGGCGTACATGGGGGTTTGAGCGGCACTCATTGTATATGTCTGCTCATTGTGGCCATAACTTTGTGGAGATGGCAATGGCTGTTGTTGATTGTAAGGACGTTGATTGGGCCGAGCAAAAGGCGAGATTGCCCCTTCTTGGCCGACTGATCGACGTTGAGGAGAGATCGATGAGGTGGAGGTCGTAAGAGGAACCTGAGGAGGAACAAACAAGGGCAATTCCTGAGAAGAGAAGATTGAGTCAGCAAGTTTGGTCGCATTGGCAAGAAGAAGTTAGTAGCGGGGCATTTTGCAGCTGTCTTACCGAGCTTTCAAATTTGGGTCGCTTCCGGCGACCGTCATGGAGAATATTATCCATGCTAATATCTGAGCTACCAAACTGCTCGCTGCGGGCCTTCTTCGCACCAGAGACGGAGCCATAGCCACCTTCGCTGTCACTGTAGCCGGAGGCTCCGTCATCATGGAAGCTGCCATGAGTGCTGGAACCCCTGCTCTTGTTGCCAGCTCTGGAGAGCTGCTTGTTCTGAGAGGCGCTACGACGGCTTCTACCGGAAGGTGACATGCTGCGCTTGCAAGCGAGCCTGGAAGTAGGCCTGGATGGCGGTTGATTATGCTCCAAAACTTGCGCCGGCTGCATAGCCGGCCCCATCTGGAAAGGCTCGCCAAGACTGGGACGTTTGCGAGCCTCTACTGGGATGCCATAATAGCGATCCCCGTAGCCTTCCGAGTATGCTTGAACGGGGATCACCCGCACATAAACGGTCATGTTATTCCGCAGATTTTCATACCTTGCGATGAGGGTGATGCCATGTTCATCCTCAAAGCTGACACCACTGGCGGCGCCGTCGTAGATGCCATAGAAATTCTTTACTGTAGTCACGATTGAATCCGTAGTATCATGAGGATATATCTGTACCCTCATGGGTATCCGAGCCCGAACTTTGGAGTTTTCGTCAAGCAAAAGCTCGAAGGCAACGTTCTTGGGGACGGGGGCCTTGTGGGTCTGGTCCTGGGCCGTATGTTCGGTATAGGCGGAGGGCTCCCCATGAGTCGAGGACATTTCGTGATAGGTAGCCTGCATGGTGTAGGGGGAAAAGGTATCACCCTATTGCTACATCGAGAGATTTGTATCAATCGACTGTTCGACCTGATGTAGGAGGGCCCGTCCGGATGGTGAGGGTAGTGGGGGCAGAGAAAGGCAGGAGGAGGGAGACGAGGGTATGGGCAAATTCCATCCAAACCTACCACAACGAAGGAACCAGATGGGTTTAGTTGAAAGATGGATCACCCGCGATCGTTGTACCGTTATGATCGATGGTGAAGGGTATTGTGGTTGGATGGGATGAGGGGGGCCCAAGTCGCAAGAGCCGAGAGCGACTGGAAAAGGGAAAAACCGGTTGAGAACCTGCAGGAAACATACCATATGGGTCAGAACAATTAACTCAAAGGAAGTCATCCAGAAAAGATATAAATGACTGAAGAAGGCATTCGCATGAATTTCTAGCAATGGCCCGTTCTAGTTCGAATCTTGATGAGTGCAGACTTGAGGGGAAGAGGGAAGAAGAAGCCCAGGTTCTCGGAAGAGGATGGAGAGCATCAATGACACACCTAGCACGAATCAAACTTATTCATCGAGGATCGCACACATCTAGTGGTCCTAGAGACAATGAGCGATGAAGGCGATGGCTATATTCGAATGTCGCAGTAGATGGATGGTGGATGAGTCGTCTACAAAGAAGCGCTTGGGCTGTATGTCAGCGGTGGCATCACAGACAGGTTGAATCAGGAGAGGAAGAGTCGAATAAATGGGGGGACGAAATGATTGCAAATAAGACTCAAAAAAGACGATGAAGATCGAGACTCACCTGAAGACCTATCGAAAGCAAGTGTCGAAAGAAGCTGAGTGAACTGGTTGGGTTTCGAGATCAGCGGTTGAAGAAGAGAGAGAGAGAGAGAGAGAGAGAGAGAGAAGAAGTGGGTGCGAGTGTACGATGGTTTCACCTAAAGCGAAAATGGCCATTGGGGTCGGTGACCTGCGTTCGCCGGCAATCCACGAATTCAATACAAGAATCCCATGGACGATGGGCTTAATTCATGTTTTTTATATGCGAAACTACTTCTGTCATTGATTGATTCTATTCTGGTATTTCAGATGTTCTTATTTTGAGTCGCATTGCGCTGTGGGTTGTCGGCCGCAAACTGGATGCGCAAGACCGTCTACTATCAGAAAGGCACTGCGAAAGATAATAATGTTATAGATATGGCTATTTACGAGTCGCTACCTTTCAATGATGATGTGTAGAGGATCAAATGCACAGAAATCGATGTTGTTATCCAGCATTGGCCATGATGATAGCCAGCGAGGTGGTAGAGTCGGACTGATGGATTCGCCTCGAAATTGGATACTGGCGCAAAGGAAGCGACCAAGGTATCTGATTTCCAATCGCACTCTCTCCTAACTGACTCGGAATCATCCACGGTTCTTCTCGACTGTTAATCTTTCATTATCCTTTCACTCCTTTGCATGACCGGTGGGATTTATGGTGTGAGCAGAAAGGAACAAGACGGATGGATCCATCTGAGTGGCTGTCAATTCGTTGGCTGGCACATCCTCGCCGCGGCCACGTCGAATGACACCCAGAAGTTCCCCCAACCTGTCCAACTACTATTGATCGAGGAGAAGGGAAGTATCTTTCCGGCATGGCGATCTGACTG